GTTTGTTGTATTTTTGAAAAGGGGTACAAGAAAACTATGTATTAACATATCATGGGCAGGGTGCTACTGAATCTGATAGTTAAAGCGTATGCTAGTATGAGGGGCGACATTTAAAGTAAAGCATTGTTTTAAATCCTGGGAAAATGCACTCCCCCATTTTGCAAATATTGTGTGATGCCAATGAACCCTGAAATTTGTTTTTGTTTTCGTTAGCAATCAACAAATATGTTTATGAAAATCTTGTGAGTCCAGACATATGATTCTCATTCTGTCTCAGCTTAGTGTTGATTAAATTTTATCCCCACTCTTCCGACGTCTGTGTCTCCCTCATTTTTTACCCTATATTCAGTTTCTTTTTAAACCAAATTTACAAATATCCGTTCACATATATAAATCAGTAGTTGTTTCTGACAAGATTATGTTTATAGATCATCAAAAATTAAGGTAGCGTATTCTGTAATTCCAACTATATGTTAGCCCCCCCCCTCCCCTTCGCCAACGGTAATGTATTGTTTAAAATAATACTGCATCCACCTTTCACCGTTTTGAGCAGTTTTCGTGTAATTTTTGAACAAATATCAAATGTGACCCCGCCCCTGGAATAAGTGAGCCCCCCTCGCCGATAGAGATGTCTAGTTTAAAATAATACTGTATCCCCTGGCCAATAATTCTTTCACCATTTTGAGCAGTTTTCGTGTAATTTTTGAGCAAATATCAAATGTGACCCCACCCCTGGAATAATTGAAAAGTAATCCCCTTAGCAAATGCTGGATTCGGCCATGGTACACGGTACTTGTCAATGCGAAATAATGGGTGCTGATTAGTAGAAATACCCATTTAAACAGACCCTCTTAATTTATAACAAGTCAACAATTAAGAAGCCATGTTGCGATGTACTTTTCGTGACTCAAGTCGGATATAAAGTGAAAACATACTCTTTTTGATTTGATATCCCGTATTTAGCTAAAGCAAAACACGAAATATTAACACGTGCGGTAAATTATAATTTAAATGTTTCCATATATAGCGCAAAATCTCACATGGCAATTTAATAACGACTAATTTTGTCTTGTGTCTAACCACGGCGTGCTTAGAGATTTCTAGACTCTAGTCACGCTCTGTCCACGCCAGCTCTAAGCACGTCTAAGCACGCCTAGAAATCTCTAGATACACGGAGTTCCTAGACCGACTAAGCACGTCTAGAAATTACTAGAAATTCCACATTTGATGCAGTGTTATCAACTGTAAGAGATATACACAAATCGTTCCGTATTCCAATACTTGAAACGGATACTATTTTTTCAGTATATTTATCGGCCACAGTACCTTAGTAGGCTTTATGATTGGTCGAGCTTGGTCACGTGTAAACTTAGTGGGAACGCATCAATTTCTCATTTGGATCAGAGACATATCATCAACTTGAAGTTAAGTTGAACACTTTGGTTCAGATGTTATGGTCTGTCTTCATTTTAGAAATATCATGTTAAAATAAACTCTTCCAATCTTAAAAATGAAATATCATTTCCGGCAATACTATTTGATTTGTGATTTGATATTAAAATCAAGAACGATATCGGGAATGTATTGATATATTTTGATAAAAAGCGTGACGTATAATGTATAATATATATTCAATCATTACATTATCGATGCTTCTGTGTATGTCTCTTGAAAGACCAAGATGATACCAAAAACAAAACAATTTGCATTTTACTTTTACAAAGGTACAACGTCAAAGGCAATCAGATAAAAATACATTTTGCCAATAGCTATACTAGACTCATAAGAGAATGGAATGATAAGGCTGGAGTCATGAAAGACCATCAAGAAACGAAAAGAAAAAATTAAAGGTCAGGCGATACAATTACAGTGTTAAAGTATATCAGGACCACCAACCATTCTTTGCAAAATACCAATGTTATCATATTACGAATTCACAATAAATGACCATGTTTTCTTTATTGAATAATCATTATTTTATATTGACTGGTTGATGCTATAACAATAAGATTGTTTGATCTTACATCAATAGCACTAGTTTGAACAAGTTGCACGTTTTGATTAATGGAAAAAAACAATTGAGAAATGTGTGATTCGCTTAAATATCCCCGGGGATTGGAGGAGACTAGATTGTATAATATAAAATATCTGCGTTGAAAAATATAACGTCGACGTTATAATTTTTCTTATTTGGTTCTGCATCAGTCGCAGTTATCAGTGTTATACATCAAAATCAAAAACGGCTTAACCCGCTGAAAAGATCATTAGAAATAACCGTGCTACAATGCGACATGGTTTGTACCCGTTTAATACAGTATCATGTCACAAGAACCCCAGCTCCAATCCTGTAACGAGAATTATATTACTCGTTGTCTGCGAGAACACCACAACTTGTAATAGAGGCTCTTGAAATGGAAATGAATAACATAGATAAATCACAACCGGAAATTGAGACAACAATTTTGAACATTGTCCTGTGCGGATTTTGAGGTTTGAGTAGTTTACAAAATGAGGATATGAACTCAGTCTCGTACATAAAAGCCCATTCTGAGTTTAGTGTGACATTATAAACACAGAGGCTACATTATATCCTTTTATTCGCTTCCTGCAGCCATTTCCTCTCATCCTATGTTATCTTCGTGATATACTAGATATAGTATTATCATTGCTATTAGCATGTAACCCATGTGTTTTCTTTTATATCTTTTTTAATTTATAGAACACCTATGAAATAAAATAAATAGTTAGAATACGATACATGCCCCAGGGCACACTTCACATTGCCATGTATGTAATATGTATACGATAAATCAAATGGTTCCATATTAATGAATTATTTCTATTATGTCCTTGGCCATTCCCTACTACTACGTCAATACAGTCCGATTGAAATCACGTGATATTTATTCATGGGCAGTTCTACTCTGGCGGGGAAGCTGAGATTAATGAGACCTTCTAAGAATCCCCTTCAGACAAGACACGCGATTAAACACCGACATCAATCGCTATATTTCAAATTGAAGCCTATTCCGAGGCTTTAAGAAAATCATTAAAGAAGATTGCTGAAACTATGGAAGAATAACAATGGACTAAATTTTTATATTGTCATGGTAAACGTAACGATTGGGTTTGTATCTTTCATTGACGTCCGGGGAATTGAAATTGATGATCCAATCGCGTTAATTTAATAACGCCCAAATACACGATTTCTTAGACAGTTTACAACTCGAGGCAATCTTGAAAACTGGACTAAACAGGTCCAAATCGAACCAACTTCAACATTTTGTGTTTTGCAATGATTTATCCAAAATGCAAACTGTGTTTGGTTAAAGCCATTCAATAGGAAGTTTAGTCCATCATAGAGTAAAAGACCCATAATGAACTCATATGCCAACAGGCGTACTAAAGACTCGTACTAACCTTTATTTGATCGTTTGTATCTAAAAATTACAGTTATTTTCTTTCATAGCTACTTTTGCTCACAAAGTATTTTTTATCCAAACTATTTCTCGATATCTCTCCTGTTTCGATAGAAAACAAAGGGGTCTCGACGTCTCTCGTGAGATTTACTTTAAAAAATTCAAAATTCCCGATAGAAAAAACAGTTTGTTTTCACTGGAAATAAGTTCTCGAGATAATATATTGCAGAATATTCCCTGACTGAAGGCTGAATATGTGTCGAATGTGACTTAACTGAGGGTTATTTAAATACAGGTATGAGCTGCCTGTAGCTTAGGATTATGCAGTGATCAGCAGCGTAATTCATAAACAAACTAAGGGCAATGCGAGAACCGTGTAGTATACTCCAGATTAGCACTAAGCTAATCCTCTTAATGAACAAATAAGATACGACGTATAGGATAATAAATATATAAATAACTATGTACTCTATATGGAACATAGTCAAATACTGCAAACCACTTCCAGGCGGATTAGCATCAATGGAAGCCTACTCAGATTCTTGGATATCGAAACAATATAAATAAATCAGAATATCGAGTTTGTGAGCGATCAGTTACTTTATGGAATGTAAACCTACCTGTCCTGTTAAAGCAGTCTGAGTCGGATTGGTTGTCAGGTAGACGTTTGGAGGCAATAGACAGCCGTTGAGATGTAAGACATCCAGAATTAAATGAAACTGAAATAAAATACCTTTGAGATTAGTAAACGACTGGTGCGCAGATAGCAAATCATAAACATAACACAGACAGGCATACTTTTATGCTGGACTACAAAGAACGGATTTAAAACGATGTTAGTAGTACGCAAACTGTGGGTTTTAACACGAAATATATAAAATCAATTTGCCAGCAATCTCAAATCTAAAAAGTTACTCCAATTTACTTTTGTACAGTATGCGAGACACCAATTCCACCAGGAGAATTTAATTCAGTGAATCGAAGGAGATAGGAAAATTTAATTCAGTGAATCGAAGGAGAAAGAAGGGAGCATTAATGCACATTGTGTCGACCCGTTGTACTCGTTTCATATCAAATTCCTAGAGGGACATGTATATGAATAGAGAAACGTCTCACCTGGAATACACACTTAACATCGGACCATTTCGTAAAACAACGTGGACGATTTGAATGTGGTCATACCAGAGCTTGGATTTTTTAACAGCTCAATAGGATACGTTGTATGTACAAAAATCATCTCATACATTATAACTATATGGTGGGTGGGAAAAAGCTTTATTACTAAATCGTTGTATTTTGATATCTTTATACAGAAGTGAAATATAATATCCCGAGACTGAACATTAGAATCACAGATATAATTGCAGTGACATTTTAGTTTCTATATAATATGTTATATTCACAACAATTTTATATTACGATTGGGATTAAAATGAATCGCACGACTTTAGCATTTCCGAGTTTTGTTTTTGCAGGTTTTGTATCGTAGAAACATTGGCACGTAAAAGTGTTATTCGAACCTTGTTTTATCAGGCAAAATTCTGACACCTAGTCTATCATTAGCTAATTTCAATTTATGAAAAAACAACAGCGTTACTGCTGTAGCTGATTCGAGAACTTGTGTTCTAAACTTATTAGTGGCTTTCAGAATATTCTGCCAAGAGACGTCATTATTATTTAACATTCCATAACCATTTACCATGAACGCTTAATTAACAAGACTTCCGGTTCTGTGAAGAAAGAAGGAACGTTCGTAACTATAACGTTACTGCAACAAAAATGGAATAAAAACATAATATACTTCACCTGGAGGAATTTTGGAAAATCTACAAAGTGTTAACCAAGTAAATTGCATGAGAAAAGGTATTTACCTGAAAAGCAATGGACCAAAATGCACATTTCACACGAGAAACATACTTTAAAGAGATTCACAGATAGATAAGTTGGTGCTTTGTATTGTAACCAAAGCAGGCCATTTATATTGGCAATGGGAGCACATTATACCTTAGTGTAAATACTTCTCCATACTTGAAGTCGGAGTGGCTCCGAGGGAATTTATAATTAAAGCATTGATTTGTATCACAAGCTCCAAACCTGGGAATATAATCGAATAAAAACGGAACCAAAGTAAGTGTGATTGTCTCATTGAATAAAAACGGAACCAATCTAAGTGTGATTGTCTCCTTATACATAATGCTAGGCTGCACATTAAAAGAGCTTCAGTTGGCACTAAGAGAGAAAATAGAGGAGGTCCAACAACGTGATAATCTCATTGACGAACTAGAAGCTGAGCTTGATGAAAAAGATGAGATAATTGAACGACTTCAAAATGAGTTGGATAAATATCGCTCCGTGCTGAAGCCTGTCACTGCCCAACAAAACCACATTCGATTTATAGATCCTAAAGAACGGACTAAGAGATGCGCCATATCGGCGGAACCAATCAAGGATAGCACTGCAGAGGAGTTGCTTACACGAGTAAAAAGGGTTCCCAAAACAACACGGTATGTAAGAGACGTTGATTTTATATACCTGTATGTATAAAACCGATCAGTGCACGTAGTATATTTGACTTTTTAACGAGTTAGATAAGTGCGATATACTCAGGCCCGATGGATTCAAGCGAACCCCCCTTGGCCAAAAAATCTTTCAAAATCATGCAGTTTTTAGACCGAAATTGTCACAAGTGAACCCCCCCTGGAATTTTTCAAAAAGTGAACCGCCCTTGGCAAATCCTGGTTACGGGCCTGATACTGATATCCTTGATTGGGTAACGTATGCGTTCCATGTGTGAAGCTTTAATGATAAAAACGAACAGCCCGAGCTTTTAATTAAGAATTCATAGATGAAACACATGGAGGATGACAAACTCTAAACAGGGTGACCGCAAAAAACACTACCCTCTAATATCGGAATGACTTTCTCAAATGTGATGGAATTTTTATGTTTTTTTATGTGTAAGCTTACTATAGATAGAGTGCTCAATGAAAAACAGTGATGTACTTATATTGGATCTATGATGATGGGATCTATGAAAGGTAATCACGGTTTCCGTCCAGGTATGCTGGTGGTTTGGCGTCAGAGCATGCCTCCACGAAAAACATGATGTATCTAAATCCCCAAATCGTTGATGCTATGTAAGTTCACCATTGTTCCATACACTGGACACTCTGTCGTCTCAAAAAGCCATGGAAATTACTTCATAATATCAAGAAAGTTATTCCAAAACGAGAAGGTAACGCTTTATGCGGTCACCCTGTGTGATATATCATAAATTTCCGACCATACGATTGCAATTAATACAATAGTGGTTTAAAAGTAATCTACAAAATGTATTGTTTTGCCTTAGTAATGAGGAAGACGTCTTAGATATTGAATGAAACGCGATCCGTCGTTCTTCTTTCGCAAAAAAGAAAACTTATATAGCTTGATTTAAAATATTGTATATACTTGTAAATTATAGTACTTCATATTTAATTGATAAATTATCAATTCTAAAATCAAACCGTTCTCCATAATATAAGATTGTACAAGTTGTACGATTGGCATCTTCGCATATTGCTCAGGTCGATACTGTAACATGAATGCCTTCTAAACTAGCACTAAAACCCCTAGAACTGGCCCAGCAAGTCGGTAATAATACAGGATAAAATGATAAAAGGAAACTAAGTCATATTTACACAGTTTAAATGATGTGCCTTAAAAGTAGAGAAAACAATTTAAATGTATGAACGATCATATCACACCCTTATACAATCTTTTAAAAGTGAAAAGAGATTCAGATTGTTTTATTTCATAATAAAGGTCATTCCAGGCACTTGGGCCATACTTTTTTACAGAAAATCTGGCAACACTGAGGTCCACCCACATATGCTTCGTTAATAGAGTAAGTTAGCTGATTTAAAGAATCAATAAACCTTGAATCTAAAAAGCTTGACTAATGCAGACAATTACTAAAAAATACGAAGCTAAATACATACAGTACCTCAATACAAATGAAGGTAATTTAAACAACTTGATGATAGGGCGTGAGAAAATCTAAAAACCCGTAGTGACTGCATTTCCGAAAACGAAAGGAACAATTACTGAGATTGCCAAGTACTTATGTGTTATTATTGAAGAAGGGTATCCATAACCTGTGAACGTGCTTTGTGTTTCTGGGATTACTTCGATTGTTAAAAGCAAATTGGCCATAATGACAAGGATATATAGAGATTATCCTATATGAGGTTCAGGATATTGGGATTATCCCGAGGCAAATATAATATATTTGCCCGAGGGCCGCAGGCCCCGAGGGGAAATATATTATATTGGCCAAGGGATAATAATATCCTGAACCGACTATAGGATAATATGTTTATCCCATACCAATCTTGGTCATCTGGTTAACATTGTTCAATCGTGGAAATATTTTAGAATATTCATGTCCAGTTTTGTTTTCTTGGCCGTGGGCGGATTTTCCTGTTCTCTCAAATATTCCCACATTTATTTTCTCGATTTTTTGATTGATTAAGTGGATGCTCTTTCCCTTTTTTAAACCATCAAACAGATCCCGATTGTCTGTGTTTTCTCCATTGTAGTTAACAGTCATTATGCGAACGTTACAAATTATGAACAAATATGCGAGCGGCGATTATGACGTAGCGGGCAGATATACTATATCTGCCCGATCGGAGCGGGACGTAAAGCTATATCTGCCCGCTGATGAAAATATAAGTTTTTACAAACCGGCTTTATGTACCCGTAACACGTCCAAGAATGGGATAAAGTCTGTTATCCAGGTCCGCTGACACGCACTTGTCAATAAGTATACGTAAGATATAGAAACGCGCTATTTAATGAGACCGTTTGTGGTATTTTTTATCGACTTAAAGATTATGATGAGCAGAGCATAGCATAGTCAATATCATCCGAACGGGACACAAAGACGTCTATAATTAAAACGATTGGTCATATATTGTTTTTACAATTGTATCTGTCTCATCGGGAGACCTACTTAAGAACAATGCTTTAACTATATTCATTTTTCATTGAAACGATACCACTGTCACATCTCGTGAATTGTCTAATTAACTTACAATTCTAAGTCATTTCCTTATTATTGCTAACAACCGTAGGTTTATAAGATTTTAAACCCCTACCAGTGATTTACTAATCGCACGTTCGTATATTTGCAACATCCTCTAAGAATATTTCGCTCAAGGTGTTACGTTCGTACAATCATAACATGATAGATGAGCTATCTCAAGTGTATTCCAAGAGATTTGAATATACTAATGCAAATACTACGAAACCTACTTAACTTAAAGATGTCATTGTGATATCCTGAATAAAGCGAATCTATAAATCTAACTTGTTACACAAAGTATATAAACATTTTTACGTGTGCTTCAAGTTAGTATTTTCGTATGCCAAGACTTGATCAAGTGTTTATGTTTTGAACATTTCGCTCTATGTTGCCCAATAAAATTGAAAACGTACATTATGGCATACTGACACTTTAATTAAATCCAGTTCCCACCACACGTACAAGTGTCTACATCTTGGTGGGATGATGTCACTTTGACGTCCTTAAAGAAAAGCAATGCCCAATTTGTAATGTTACATAACCTTACATACAGACATAATATATATAAATTCAGACATCTTGAACGTTTTTATTTAGAACATAAGAATGACAAGTAAATTGTGAAAATTGTGACAAAGGTGTCTCACTAAGTATGTAATAATTCAGCACTGCGTGTCTGGCAATCCTAAAATAAAACTCCCCGATCAAACCATTTCTGGATTTCCAAGGATTAAAGAATTATTTATTTATTTTGACTATTGACATTTAAAATTAAAAGACTTGCCATTTGATCATTTTAATCATCCACAATGCTCTTTATAGTCAGCCTATTTTTGGTCTTTCCACAAAGCATATAATGGGGATATATCTGAGAAACCACGACTGGAAAAATGGTAATAGTATAGTATTAATGTTTGGGATCATCTGCTGCAACAGGCTGTTAATGGAGAACGAATGGCAGGTAATGTGGTTGCCAGTGGCGCTCAGAGGGCCTTTCAGAGTATTGAGCATTTTCACTTTATAAATTGTTCTGATACTACATGTAAGAGAAAGGCTTGCATAAATTGACAGAATTAAATCACTTACTTTAAAATCATAATTACTAGTTTTAAAACAATCGAAAAACGATGGGTTCAGAGGTATGATTTCAGAGTACTGCCACAAAAAGGGTACAACTGACAAGTACAACTGTACAAGTGTATATCTAAATTCTTTCGAAAATTAAAGTTTTGCACCAAACAAAAGTCGTTAAGTTGTCAAGAAGCCCAAAAATGGTCGGCCTTTCCGCACAATTGCCTTTTACCTGTTTCTACTCAACAAGAGCGTAACGTCTTCGCGAATCTTAAACTTTATTGAGCATGGAGTTTCTTTATCTAACAAACCTGGAACGTCTCACGTAATAAAAGTCTAAATTAGATAAATTGGCTCCCTTAATTCCGATGTTATGCCCTTTATCTGTTTTAGATGATATACGATAGACGTTTTATCTGCTTTTAGAACATATGTTATTACAATAAACACGACAGATATCATTAATAGCCGAATCCCAAGATGGGGAAACTGATTGATTTACTCTCCAACAATTACTTCAATTTTAAACTGAGATTTCACAACTGTTTTTTCTTTGTATAATTTGAAAACAAACGACAGGGGTTCACTCTGGTGTACTCATAGTATCTCCGATGTTACCACGATGGCGAGAAGTCTTTGTTGAAAATGAAATCGATTTCTAGATTGCATGATATTATTTTATTAATTTGATTTGTTTCAAAATGAATACCATGTTTATGTTCGGTATTTTGCGCAGTTACAGTGATGTCTCTCTTGTCAATCTTGTCAAAATCACCTGTGTTCGCAAATGTCTTCGTTGACGTTATCATCATTTACCGAACGCAGGCTTTGTTTGAAATGCACGATCTCTTGTTGTTACCTGCCATTCAAGTACATCGAAACCCTTTGATGGTATATATTGTTCAACTGTCATTTCATTGTATCATGGAATCCTACCATTTAACAGTCTCCATTGTAATGCATTGTGAACTTGAATTTATGTTTTTTTATATTCATTGTTGATATGGCATAGCCATATACAAACATGTCAGTTTCTTTGCTGTCACTACATAATTCATATTCATGTTTTACCTCGTGGATTTCTGATTTAATGACGATTACAATTTAAGTTAAGAATATCACTTTGAGGCGACTACCTCATTGTTAAAATGAAAATACAGAATGATCTATATTTGCCTTGTCCGGATTCTCCATGCAATATCTAAAATGCAAGGTGAGTCCCACACTGTAAAATACAAGACCCTACCCTTGTATGATAGATTGTAAATTGGCGACGCAAGACCTATCTTGATGCTATACTGTATGTAAGGAACAACTTGACAAATACTCGATAGGTGTATTGAGAGAGACGTAGATTTCATTGAT